CGACAGCACCGCCTCGCTTTGGGTCGTCAGAGCAGTCCCCGTCCATCGACCCCAAAAATCGAGATATAAAAAATGTGACTCGAAACAACACTTACACGTTACTGCCAAGCTGGCGCTGCAACCCTCCGGCTCACCTTCATGTTGTCGTCACGGATACGCACGAGGAAGCCGTGGATACCGTGGTTGGTGCCCTTCAAGTGCAGGTGGGCGAACACCACGATCCACTTGGCGTGGATGGCGCCGTTCGTGATCCAGTACTTCTGCGCCAGCGTGGTCGGCGAGTTCACGACAAACTCGTCTGAAGCGCGGACGGGATCGTTACACGGGAACTGCGTGAAAACCCGTCCCAGGTCCCGGACAGGTTCACAGGCTTGGAAGAAACGAGGCTATTAAATATGGAGTGATGCATATGCGACACAAAGCTGATACCTGAGCATACGCCCGTGATGAAGTGTTTTCGTTTGATCCAAAACGACTACTAAGATGAAACTTAGCTCAAGTTCTTCATATTCTGGCTATCATTAGCTACACTCTCTTGCTCAGTCCAGTGGGATTATAGTGCAACATTAAGTGCATGAGCATTTCAATCACCCTGAGACACAGCAGTACCACATGGGCGAGCACGTTATCCACCAGTCATGTCACTCAGAATCATAACGAAAAAACGTTGTTGCTGCCTCCCTGCATTTCACTTTCGTCTCCCCCCCCCCCGCACACACACACCTCTTCCCTCCCTCCCCACCGCCAACCAACCCAGGCCTTATCTCACTCTCCGACCACACCGCTGTAGTGAGGATACGCTCCAATGTCAAGAGCTTCTCCGGCAGGGGGGGGGGGAGGGGGGCAGGGCGTTACACGCCAGCCACCCGTGCCTGCCAGCGGGAGCCGGCAGTCTAGCCATACCCCTCCCGTACCCAAGCCGCCGCCGTACCGGTGGTCCCCGCCGTCCGCTGGCCATCCTGCCGTCCGGCCAGCTGTGGTGACGGCCGGTGAGCGCGCCAGGTGCCGTCCACCGGCGCCCGGCGCGCTCGCGCCCGCTCCCCGCAAATAGCCCGGCCGGACCGGCCTGTAACCGGCCGCTCGGGGCCCGACTGCCAATATGACAGCTTGAGCGGCCCTCGGGTGCCTGCGATCGGCCCGGCCCCATCGGGATGAGACTGTCCGGCAGCGGCCTGGCTTCACGCCAACGAGGTCCGCTCCTCGGTGAACAGGTCGGCCGCAATCAGGCGGCCGCTGAGTCATTACAGAGTGTACGCCTTGAAGGGCACTCCTGGCTATCTGACAACAGACGTGAATCCACTGCCTGCCCGTGCACCCATCAGAACGGTCTGTCCGGCCGTCAAACGTGACAGAGGGTGTGGCCCTGATGACCCCGGGGGCAACAGGGCGCCGGGCGAGCTTGTTCGGGCCGGTTACGTCATCACACTTGACGGTAAGAAGTCGGTGCTCTTACTCCTCCACGCTATGGCAAAGACCACCTGCCAGTTAGCCCACAACAGGCATCACTTCCACCAAACAGAGCAGCGCAGGCCACCATCCGTCACTGACGGACCTGCAGGCCACCGCCCGTCACTGGCGGACCTGCCGGCCACCGTTCGTCACTGGCGGACCTGCCGGCCACGGTCTGTCACTGGCGGACCCGCAGGCCACCGTCCGTCACTGGCGGACCTGTAGGCCACCGTCCGTCACTGGCGGACCTTCAGGCCACCGTCCGTCACTGGCGGACCTGCAGGCCACCGCCCGTCACTGGCGAACCTGTCACGCCACTGTGTGACACCGCCGTGCACCTCAGGTGACAGCAACCGTCACCCACCTGTCGCCGGGTCGTACGTGGCCGTCGTCTCCATTTCCACGGCGTTGTTTCCGTAGCCCAGCTCCGTCAGACCGAAGCAGCCGACGTCGTTCAGATTATCGATGCCCTGGAGAGCACGGCATGTTACATGTCCATGACCAAAGACCCTCCATCGCATTACGGATGGACTAAATGTTCGGAACTATCGTCCTCGTATAGTGTAAACTGGATGTAGACCATGCTTCGGTTAGATAACTCCAGCTGTCGCCACGTATTACTTGGTCCTGAGAAGGGCTAGATGATAGTTGGCTTTTCAGCCAAATACGCGCCAAGACCAGAATTTTCTAATTGCTAGAATTTGAGCAGGCATCTTCCCACTATCAAACCCAGCGCTCTGCCACTTAACTACCGGGAAGGGCATTGCCCCTTATCAGGGACGAGGACGGAAGCCTGAACAATAATTACATCCGTGATAACAATGCCCCGTCTCAATCATTCCGTAAAACTATACCTTTCATTGAAAACATCAATATGTACTCTTACCAATGTTTCCATACGCTGTCTTTACGGGTGCAGCATAGTCAAATCGCAAAGATGAATATATATATATTATATATATATATATATATATATATATGCATAGCATTATCTATCCACTACCACAGCCCCTCCCTCCTCCTCTGTGACGCGCCCGACCTTGAGCAGCTTGTCGTGGTGACGCGCCGTGCCCAGCTTCAGGACAGTGCCGCCGAACAGATTGAACTGCACCGTCATCTTGGTGCACGTGCTCGGGTCTATGATGCCGACCAGCTCGTGGGCGGCGAAGATCTTGTACGGGTTGTCGTTGAAGTTCAGCACGGATATGAAGTCGTTATCGCAGACGGCCTTGAGCCGCTGCAGTGCCACCTCCCGCTCCTCCTCCAGGCTGATGTTGTACCTGTGTCACGGCCCGCAGCGCAAGGTCAGGGCACACGGTCGCGGACGCCGCTTAAGTTCGCAGTCGTAGACTGAGTCCCACCAGGTTACGAACGGTCGCGCGGGATCATGGATCATGGCACAGGGTTACATCAGGTCACACAGGTCAGCACGGTCGTCCAGGGTCGCGGGATGCCACACTGGATTGCAGAGGGTGGGGCGGGGTCACAAACGGTCACACTGAGGAACACTGGTTGCGTCAGGTCACGGACACTCGTGACGTCACGCATGGTCACAGATAATCGCCGAGGCTCAGGTTGGGGTCGGGCGGCGAGCGCACGCCATGTTTGGTGTCCGAGGAGCTTCCTATTGGGAGGATTCGCGGACAGGGTGATGGGATCGCTATTAACACGACGTTGCAAAAATGATACCGAGTGCACATATTCGGTGTTCTGTGTGAGCATTTGTTCTTTTACTTCCTTCACCAGAACGTGTGTTCAAGCGCCGAAATATTTGGGTCTCTTTGAGAATGTGGTGACAGTTCCCACGCTCCATGAAAGCTGTGGGGGACACGCCATCCACGTTTACACCGGTGTCGCCAGCGGTGCCGCCACCGCTGCAGTCTCGGCTTCCTCCAGGGATGTAGCCAGGGGGGCCAACGCCATCCTTCGTCATCAGCACCACCTACTTGGGCTTCATGTAGCTGGCCGGGTCCTGCTGGTAGCGTCGGAAGCGGTCGCGCATATCGTGGTTGTCGTGGTCCAGCAGGTGGGTCATCTTGGCCGTGTCGAAGGTGGTCACAGCCTGACGCTCGCGCAGCTCCGCCGGCGACATCGTGTTGTTGAGGCCGGCCGCCGCCGTCTGTTGCCATCTGTCGATGACACCCACTACTAACAAACCGACGTGCGGAGTACAGAAATGGGTGTAAAACTACGAAATCAGCGAAAAGGGGTATTGTAGAAAGTCAGGCCAATCTAGGGTGACAACACGACAGCCATGTTCTATGTTGCTGCACATAAGGCATAAAATCACCAAGAAGCATGAAGCTCTCGTTCATCGCACGGGTATTTCAGTCAAAAGCAGGTCCATCGGATACTGAAACGCGCGGAATTAATACGCAACGCAATGCAGTTTAACTTTAAGCTAACGTACATCTCGCTTATACTTATACAACAACCGGGATGTATCTGTTGCATTTCGAGGCTTGGCTAAAACCTTTTTTAATTGAATTCTGGGATCAGCACCTACGCCCAGTAGTGCGTGTTGTGTGAGCTCTCACGCCAGCATCCGATCATGGGAATTCAGGGTCAACGATAGATTTTGCGTGGAAAGTTAAACGCGCCGCAACGCTCGGCACGGTTTGCCCTGTGCTCTAGCTTCACCTGACCTTCAGTACGCCCGCTAAACGACGGCCGCAAGCTACTCCAGTCACGGGCAAATAACGAGCACCCAAAGCGGTTCGAACCCACCATACGAAGGGTGGGCGAATCAGAAGGCAGGAGATCTGCCTTCACAGCTTCCGTTGATTACAGCACCTGATGCTGTAATCAACGGAGCCATAGAGATGGACAGATATCACATCCAATTTCCGACCATTCAATGCATTTAGGACGGTAATTTCCGAGAGCTTCGTGTACTTTTGATGTGGCAAGTTCTGCTTTAGAGCAGAACAAGTCGAGATTCGGAGAGCGCCTGACGCACGGTTGTTGCTCAGTCCCGGGTGGACTGACATGCTGACCCGATCACACAGCTCACTAACCTGATCCCATGGCCATATTTGTTGGCCTGAGAAACCTGGCGCAAAATGCTCGAGGACGCACACCGGAACATCGCTGAAACATAGAACACTGATCAAGATTCTTTCATAAGGTGGTCAACAAACAATACACTTTATCTATATATATATATATATATATATATATATATATATATATATATATGTGTGTGTGTGTGTGCGTGCGTGCGTGCGTGCGTGCGTGCGTGCGTGCGTGCGTGCGTGCGTGCGCGCGCGTGCGTGCGCGTGTGAGTCCGTCATCAATGTTTGGGATCGCGCAGAGGCTAAACCGTCGACAATTTTGTCATGAGATTTTCACGCGGCCAAGGACTCATGCCCCAGTATGGCAGTGTCACGTCAAAGTCCCGCATTTCGCAAAAATGAGGGCGTGGTGGGCGAAAAACCGGCGAAAAATCCCTCATCGGTTTAACTCGCGCAACGCCATTTCGCGATCACCAGCCGATGGCCCGACACGCATCCACCCCTGAGACCGTATCTTGACCACGGGCCGGAGCGACATGAAGCTTACGCAGCCAGATAGACAATTGCGTGGGCAATCCAACTGGTGTAAGTTTGTGGTACCATGTGGTGCGTGGCACGTGCACGCGTGTTGCAAGATGAAATTGACCGTTTTTGACGAATTTTGACGTGTTTGGTCATATCTCGGCACGCAGTGCAGATAGAGACGTGGATTTTGCTTCCCAACATTAGCAATGAGTTCAACTACAATTTAATTGTGTGTGGTGAGATTGTGCGACGCACGGTTGCGCTGCAAATTTGAAGACAAGTTACAAGCAGCCAAGTTTTAAAACTCGGCGCCGAATACTAACTGTTACCATCAAAACTGTTCGGAACTGAGTGTGAAGAACTATATGAACGTGATGGCAGATTCATTCTGCTTCTTCCTGACCCTTTCGTCCATAACATTTTGCAATATTTCGCTCGCAAATGGGCCCAGACTAATGTACCGCATAACGGCTATTTGACACCGCCTCGGATCGATGCTGACAGGTTCTCCTCAGCGTCCTCTGGCGTTAAGGGTCAAAATAGTCCCCGTACACGTTGCTTGCGGCTGGGTTGATTTCTTGGTGGATCTATATTAACTGATGACAAAAATTGAACTACAGATGATCAAAATGAACACTAACTAAACTGGATAAGTCACAACCGAAATGAAAATTCCACCACCGATTGGATATATCCTCCCGCTGGGCCCTGAGTGACCTTTGGGACCCCCGGCACAGGCTATCACGGACCAGATTGGACGGCCTGAAGGCTGGCGATGTCCCGGCACCCAGCGAATAAAGTACGCCGAGAGTAGTATGTTTTGACATCTTGCGGATTTCGTCGATCTCTACGTTTTAGGCGAGATTTCCGCACCAAGGGCACATAGCGACGCGGGACTGGCGTGCTGTGACTGTCCATTGAACAGGCAATTCCAAGGTGTCACAAGTGTGGGATGACATGCTCCATTTGTTGGCCACACATGAGCCAGCTAGTTGGACTTGCTCTCTTCAATGTGTTTATACATGTTGTGTCCCATCACAGCACCCAAAGCACAGACACACTCAGCAGTAGGATGTATTGACAGGGAATCAAATGGACACTAGATGTAAATTTCCATACTGCGTGCTGTGTGTCAGGCATGCATGAGCCAGCAAGATGGTGTTGGTCATTTCCAACTGTTTCTTTACACTTTCTGCCATATCACAGCAACCACAGTAGCTAGAGCCATGAATCAATCTGCAAAAGATAGATAATTCAAAACTGTTTATAACTTAGCAAAGCAAAGCAAGTGTGCAAATGCTTGTCTACTAACTTTAATTTTGGACCTTTCAAGAATAACAGGTATCAAATTACTATGGTTTTACATTTTGAACAAGGTGATGGCAGATTGGAGATATTGTATATTCCAGGACAAAACATTTGGATACCTTGAGACCAGGAGGCAGCTAGGAAAAGCAATGTTCTTTGCACTCATCAAATCTCAGCCTATGTTTGACCACACAACTGCAAACTAATATGACCGAAATTGGATGCAAAATCATACTGGACAGAGATGGATCTTTTACTTCAGATTCCTAATAATTCATTCCTCCTTGACACATATCAATACACCTTGTCTTTCAGTTGTCAATAAGTTAATACGGCATGACTTGAAAACCACAGGTTATTCCTTTCCTTTACACAAACTCAAGGTCCTGATCATGTGGGTGTTGGTTGTATAAGTTATACTGCATGGGTTAATGCTATTACCATTTACAGGACTGTCCAAAAAGAGCAGGATTCTAGGCTGCAAGGAAAACATTTTTACACTAGTGGAAAAAGTAAACAAGTTGCTCACTAGATTTATCAGTAACAGCAAAAGCAAGCTTCAAGCATAATTTTTCTGTGGCTTGTTCTCACAAGGGTCATCTTCACCAGATTGCTTTATATCAAGTCATTAAGACATTTTAACATTCCCAATCAGTGGTATCATGTTTGTGCACCATCCAGCTTGGAAAAGATATGAACTGGATTTGGCTCCAAAAGTCCTTGACTTAAATGGTACTAATTTATACTAGTAGGTTTATGTTACTTACACAAAAGGGGGTAAGTTGAGGCCAGAAAGGATCCAAGCATATTGGGCTGGAACCCTGGATTTCATTGGATCAGAACAATATAACAAATAACAGACTGTTAGCATGGCTGCTGACATGTGCATTAAGCAGCATATTATATCTTAAATATACATTCCAAGGACAAAAGGATTTCAATAAGAATCTAGCTTTTACACAACAATGCATTCAATAATTCAAATTCTTGAGACTTGCAAGAAGTGAAGCATAGCTCTTGGTTCAGATTTGGAAGAGATTATACTAAGGCAGAGTCATGTATCTTTGAGAACCAATGATATTTATCAGAGTATTGTTGTGTTGCATGGAGTTGTATAGACCCAAAAATAATGGAGCCAAGAAAGCATATAGAATCTAGAAGATTGCATCTTCTATGTGTGTCATACTTTGTCATACATCATGGGAACTAGCTTGACTATAAAAATTTACTGATAAAGTGGGAAGAACAAAATTGAGTTGTAGTCTGCTGTTATAGAACTAATAAATGAAGTTCACAAGTATTTGAATACAAAGTCTGGTGCAAAGACTTGTCATAATGAACCATGTTCATTGCATGCAGATTTGTGCTTGTTGCCATATACTGAATATGCTTTTATATATATATATATACTTATATATATACATATATATATACATATATATATATATATATATATATATACTTATAATATATACTTCACTCCAGAAGGAAAGCTATAGGATGGATTGAAATCAACTTTTGACAGCTTGGCAAAGCAAGGAGTAAAATTAGGTTTGGCAAATAGTGTGGAAGAGAATAGGGAAAGAAAAACTAGGTTTTTAATTGATAACAATAGATGTCATGTGCTCTAGAGGTCTTTGTCATCTGTAACAGGCAATCTGAATTTTAGTATAACTTAATTGTGACAAAAGGCCCATTAAATTATCATCACAGCACACCTAAGATGGCGAAAATCTGGCCAAATCCTCATCTGGGTCTGGTCACTACTAAGGCTCAAAAATAGCTGGTTTAATAACTATAATCTGGCCCCTGCGCAGGTAAGCTGGTTCCCCATTACATAACTTTAAGCCATGTTTGGTTTCATTGCGCAGAACGGATCACCCAACACGCATTTGTGCTCTTGACGTAAACGCCAGTAAAAAACTAAGATATTCAGGCAAATAAGCACCCCACACCCTTTATACCTCAAACTTCGCCTCCGAACCCAGTGCCGACCGCCCGAAGCAACAGTTCACCCGCCGCCCCCTCGTAGCAGAGAGCAAAAACACCGAGAACACGAAGTTCGCCAAGTTTGCCTAGTTCACCTTTATTGTCTACAGAGGCAAATATAAACGTGACAGTCAAATGTGCGAGGACTCTCTACAGCGCGTCAAAGCAAGAAACCTGCACCTCATTCAGACACCCATACAGTTCTTAAAAGACTTTGACGCAAATAGGTATCTGTGAAATATATACTGTTACACAACCCTTATATTAACTGCTAATGCCTGGACATTTGGCTCTGAGTTTGATATCACCGTATGGCATTGCCTTCGGGAATTGACTACACAGCCTGATCAGCTCTACAGATAACAAAGCAACTCCAGGTGCAGGGGCGGATTTAGCCTGGAGTTGCTTTTTTTTTGGGGGGGGGCCAACCGTTCGTCGCCAGCTGGCTGGTGTGGGATCCGAAGTTCAGTGCATGATGTCTCTCGCGAGTACCTAGTAGGGACACCATTCAAAACCGAAAAAAACACCGAAATGCTTTTGAATCTTAAACAGAAGTCAAAACAAAACGGTTAAAACAGTTAACGTTAAAACAGACGGTAAGAAGACGAAGCTTTCATAAAGCTCTGGGAATGTTCGGGGGGCCAAAACATATTCTCAGAAGGTTTTGGGGGCATGGCCCCGTGCCCCCCCCCCCCCCCCCCCCAGGATTCGCCTATGTCCAGGTGGGAAGTTGAGCGAACACACTAGAGCAGAAGAACACTGGACACCAAAGGTAGAGCCTCTTATTCAGTTGCCACCTCCCCCCCCCTCCCCTTTGGCTCCAGCGCCTTCTCCCCCCCCCCCCCCCATTAAGAGAAAAATGAACTTAATCTCTCAAAATGCGTTTGTTGGTGAGTTTTGAGGAAAGGTTTGATCATTTTCAGGGCTCAGCCTGAAATATATTCTATATTTCAGGCTGAATAAATACATAGTTATAAATATATTTGACATAAATATATACTAATCAATATTATGAATATATATATATATATATATATATATCATAAATATATCCTATAAATATAAAAATATATTATAAAAATACATACATTCAGCCCCCCACTTAAGGGAACTTCGCCCCCGCTGAACACACTGTGGTGGGACGATAACTGAGGTGTATGCGTCCGGCCACGGTCTGCAGCATGGACCGCAGATGGCATGCTACCCTTGAAATAAATAGGCCCGAACGGGTCCCGGTCCCCCAGCGCACTTCATTCTGCGCGGGGAAAGGGGAGCTGCTGCAGCCGCGCCGCCTTAAAATGGCAGCGCAAGAGGCGCTTGTGGTCCCACGGATGGACTGAAGAAGAAGACTGTCCCATGGTCAGCTCCATGCAGTCTATCGTCTGCCGTCACCTGCTCCTGGTCTGCACAGCGCGCCTGCTTGGTCTCGCGGACGCGCCTGACCGCCCCGTGTCGCTCTATCTTCTCCAGCGCTCGCCTAGTCACTCGACAGGGGCGTCGCGGGTGTTGGGCTGCCTGGCAGAGAGGGGGCCGGCGCCGGCCGTGGTCCCACCCACCCACCCCACTACTGCCCAACCGTCGCCATCAGCCAGCGATCTTCCCGACGCCGGGGGTGCGACAGAGCGGCTGCCACCAGCTGTTCCAGCGGCGCTGACGTCGCCAGCTGCAAGTTCAGCGCCTAATTTGCTGGCACAGCTGAGAAGCCGGGCGACGTCAGCAGTGCGACAAGCTGCGTGGCAGACATTTGGGATGTAGTGGTGGCCTGGTGAGGCCTCACGTCGCGGCTTTATTTAGCCTTTGGTAAAAAGCGGGCGTTGTAATAATGTTCTGCAGTAACATTCACCGCAAACTTCTCGGGTTTCACGGCGGGGGTTAAAGTGATTCTGGATGTTTGAGGAGACATGGGGCAATTTTTTCTCTGTAGAATGGAGATTCTGGAGAAAGAAGAGAGATCTCAATAGGTTCGGCCGTATCGGTCTCTACCGAAGCCCGTGCAACAAGGTTTGCGCGTAGACTCGTAGTGCTCTCTCGCATGTATGGTGAACGAGAACTTATCACACACCGGTTGGCATTGTGACAGAACTTCTAAGTGCATCTGAACCAATGAGATGAGGTGAACGCATAATAAGGGTATCATCTCATCAACTTCAAGATATAGGGGAAGGCATTCAACTTTATAAAGGCAACGCCTACTTCAGGTGGTAGATGAGCATCATGGAAAGTTTTGGTGGCAATATTGGCAAACGTCAGTTCGGCGAATCTGCTGGCCTGGTTCCGACAAACGTTCACGACTCCCGACTCGGATGGACCGTTCACTAAGCCGTCCTCATCGGCACATCTCCTATCACAACAGTATGCTAGCCCATGGCTGATTTCTTTGTTGTGTGCTGTTCGACTGACATGGGTGACGTCACATCTCGCTCGCCTTCCACGTTCCGCCCAGTGCGCGGCTCGATGAGCACTCATCACCCGCTACGCACCCCTGGTTTGACCTGTCGAGCCAGCTCAGATGATAATTAAGCATATTTCGTGCTCGTTAGTAGCCACAATGAATTCCTGCGTTTAGTCGCTCGTGTGACTGCATTTTAATTGATTGGTCTTTGTCCTGTCTATGTATTTAATCCTCCGGCCACCCTTGAACTGCACTGCTTACTCGCAGGTTGGTTCCATTCGTATGTTGCCGATTCAGCAGCGCACCAGCAGTGGATCGTGGAGACATTAGTGACGGGTTGGGAGCACTTAGTAGCTCTTCGTTGGGCATGAAAGTGATGCAAGATTAACTTGTCGACAAAAGATAGAGGGGTTTTGCCAAGGTTGTTCGGTGTCTTTTGTTCTACTCAATCAGCAATTCTCGAGGGATTTGCTCTCAGTTAGCGTGAGCGAACGAAGCTCCAGCATTTTGCTGGTAGTGAGTACACCTGAAAACCCGCTGCGGTTTATCATCGGAGCGATGCCGCTTGTCGCGTAAAATCCAGTGTTTTGTATCATTGTCCTGTGTTATTCGTTTGAGAAGTCTGTACGCTTTACATAAGCGCTACGTGCTTTCGTTTCAGATGTATTTCACCTGTGTTTCATTTCATTTGCCGCGGGCAGCATAACGTCATGAAAAAGCACGCCGCGTTGCTTCCATCGTTTCCTGAGAACCTGAAATAGCTATCACTTCAGTGCGTACCAAACTCCGAGCAGCGCCAGCCCATGCCAAGGTTTAATTTTCATTAAGGCTTACAGAAACGTGCCCCGCCGCTCATATCAAAATTTTGCCAGGATATTGACGGAGCTCCGCCACAAAACGAGCCTTACGGAGAGACGTAACGCCACGCTAACGTGGCCGGTTATTGGGCGGCTCTCAGCAACCGAGACTATTTGGCATCGCCTGCCTCTCGTCCTGACGGGGAGGGCGGGCACGCCGGGGACCAAACTACGCTGATATTGGCTTGTTTGTTTGGCGTCGCCATCGGTGCGGGCGCTCATCGTCCGCCGCCGGGCTGCGGGGACGGGCGGACGGACTGGCCTGAGGGGGGGGGGGGGGGGCTCTGCCTTGCAGCTCAGCGGCTTGTATCCGGTCTGTCACCGCGGGCGGTCCAGCAACGCTGGACCCTAATACCCGGCAGAGGGGCTTGCTGTGAGCAGAGCCAGCTTCTCCTGAATCCATGGCAGCAGCTTGATGACGTCAGCGTATACCCCGGGCATACCGCCGCGGCCGCAGTTGATGCCCCTGGAGGGGAAGGCTAATGTTAGGCGCGGCAGTGTGGTGCAGACAAAACAGCAAGAGATGAGCAAACGTTGGGTCTGGAAAATCACCACCGCTCAACGCAGTGCCAAAGTCTAAGTTTCCATTGATATGCGATCGCAAAACGGAAACAGCAAGAAGAGCAAGGAATGGGCGGACGAAGTGTCTGAAAAATTACCGCCACTCAACGCAGTGCTTAAGTCTTAGCTTGCATTAATATGTGATCGCAGAATAGAAATTGGCTATCTGTTCACAAAAGGCTCACAGTTGCCGATGGCGGGGTGCAATGCATATTCTGTCCTAGTACAGGAAGAGCCGCAAGAACAGCAAGAGATGTGCGAACGATGACTCTGCAAAGTCACTGCCACTTGGTCTGGAGCTAAAATCTGAGTTGCCATAAATCTGTCATCGCAAAAAATAGTCGGCCACCTACTTCAGAAGGGTCACAATTATTGACGACAGGGTACAACACGCATGCTAACCTAGTAAGATGCACTCTACAAACACATCCCACAAATGAGATATCATTGCGGGCGCGGTCTCGTCCCAACAGGGGATCGTCATTCAGTTCCCAGAGCGCTCAGGCCCATTCAGACTACTCAGCAGCTGCCTGTGGGATCCGTTACGGCACAGGTCGCCGTTCCCTCGCCCGAAAGGTCCTGATTTCGAGGTTCCCCGCCTGCCGCGCCCCGGCCTACCCGTCCGCCACCAGCGCGAAGGACTACAACGTCGGTAGCAAAGCACATGGTACCAGCAGTGCGCGCCCATCGCCAACTGACCATGCGACGATGCCGATCTGAACATGGGTCTCCTCGCGCTTCGAGTGGTCGCGGCACACGAGCGGCGAGCCCCCGTCGCCCTTGCACGTGTCGACGCCAGGGTGGCCACCGGCGCAGAGGAAGGTGTCGTGCAGCCGGAACCAGCGGCCCAGGCGCGTCTCTCGCATCCGGCTCTGGCACTGGCCCTGGTCCACCTTGGACAGCCGCACCTCCTTCAGAATGCTGGGGTAGTCGGTATTGTCTGCGGAGGGGCACATCGATCAAAAGGACGTTGGCTAGTGAAGGGCGATGGCGACAAAGAGCGCGCGGAGAACTATTGGGCAGGCCTCATGCAAAATACCATGAAGTTTGTAAACAACGTTGATGATAACCAACGTTCACCGGATTGGGTAATCTGCAGTGTCCATGGCAACGAGAGGGCCTGGGTGCTCTCTGGCTCCAGTTTGTGAGTGATTCCAGAACAAACAAACATTTGTATGTACAGGCAGCTTCACACTGACTATCCATTGGTCGTTGGCCGTCAATATTAGGCTCTTAATATCGAATTGAGGCATTCTGTCACTGGCTGGTTGTGGAAAGGAGTGTTCTGAGCAAACACGATATCTGAGCAAATGAGAAACACCTGCACAACAGCATGCTTATATGAATGAATAAATACCAGACAGTTGGTATGTTCATACCCGCCAACAGAACCTACAACAGCAACAACTCTGTTTTGCCACAATATCCAAGAGCCATTCTAATTTGTGTTGTTCACCACGAAGCTTGCAATATCAAATCGCACTTGTGTGCCTTTATCAAACTGACAATGGCGTAACAGCAAAATGGGATGCAGAGAAGCGGCACACGAAACCAGACGTGGGGTACATATGCTCATCCACATAACGACACATGTTCTGTCCTCAGTTTTTCTGTTCTCTGTTCACTCTAAACTGCCTTGTTCATCCGTTCGCCTGCTCGGTCATCCTTGGACATAAGCCTTCGCTCACAGAACAGCCCTGCTTAGTTTTTCCCCCAATGAGCGGCCCCCACCTCAGTCTCTCGCTGAAATTGACACTCCTGACTCAGCACTTCTATCACCGAAATGCGCCGATCCCTAGTATGCCGTCAAGGAACAAGTGCTGACTCACTCGTCGAAGGGCCCTTGTTCCTCGCCACTATCGCACCACCAACAACAGTTGCTGACCTTAATTCCTCCCTTCCCGACCGGCCTGCACCCCTTGCCACCGCCTTACCGAACTACTGGTGTCCCGACCGAAGCATTCCCCTCGCAAGTACCCGTTACTGTCTTACCGAATGACTCCCGCCCCCAGCCGATGGCCCGTCACTATCTTGCCGAAAGACTCCCATCCCCAGCCGGTAGCACGGCACTGTCTTACTGAATGACTCCCGCCCGCAGCCGGTGGCCCGTTACTGTCTTACCGAATGACTCCCGCCTCCAGCCGGTGGCCCGTTACTGTCTTACCGAAAGACTCCCGCCCCCAGCCTGTGGCCCGTCACTGTTACTGAATGACTCCCGCCCCCAACCGGTGGGCCGTCGCTGTCTTACTGAATGACCCCCGCCCCCAGCCGGTGGCCCGTCACTGTCTTACCGAATGACTTCCTCCCCCAGCTGGTGTTCATCTCTCACTGTCTTACCGAATGACTCCCGCCCCCAGCCCGTGACCCGTCACTGTCTTACCGAATGATTCCCGTCCTCAGCCGGTTGCCATCCCTCACTGTCTTACCGAATGGCTCCCGTCCCCAGCCGGTGGCCATCCCTCATTGTCTCACCGAAAGACTCCTGCCCCCAGCCGGTGGCCATGCAGTCGCTGTAGTCGATGTAGTAGTCGTCGGCGCTGGGCAGGCAGAGCGTGTTGATGTGCGGCGCGGTCTCCACTGGCTGCGTCAGCTTCAGCAGCGCCACGTCGTTGAAGAGCGTGTCAGCACGGAACTTCTCGTGGGTGAGCAGGCGGAGCACACCGCGGTCCTGGTGCGCGTACACGGGGTCCCGGCTGGACGTGTCCCACTCGCCAGCACGCACCACCAGGCTCTCCTTCGGGTGGCTGTCGAGGGACCGGTGGCGACGGTCACCGTTTGCCGGGTAGCGCAGTGTAAGCGTTTAGTGCCGTTAGCTTCGCTGCCTGTCACGAAAATGGTCAACGTATCTGTCAAAAGGACTATCTGTCAGTGGCGTTGAGAATGTTCCCTGACCCTTAGAAGTAATATCCGGCTTGGGACTAAAACCCACTTGCGACTCGTCCGCTACCGTCCATAAAGTTACGCAACCGCCACCAGGGGCACAGCGAATGGGCGGGGTGAAGGGAAGGGAGGGGTGAAGAACGGAAGACCTGGCCTTCCTTCTCTTTGCCCCATAGATGGCAGAATGGTAAAAATGCCATGACATGGTATGAACGTTAAAAATCGGCGTGGTGCGTTGTCACCGAGGTCCCCTTCCTCATCCCTTAAGAATTCGCTGGTCACATCCTGCGCCATCACATAACCATCATCATTTAGCCATGCACCTCACATCTTTGGACCATGCATTCCTCGCAGCACTTCCCCAACACGATCTGATACCCGCACGGTATCTCGCGCTCACTCCTTGACGCAGTGAGCAGCGGTGAGGACGATGTCGTTGGCGACCAGCGAGCCGCCGCACAGGAAGGTGAGCTTCTCTGGCGCGCCCTCCGTGTTCGGCACTCGCTTCAGCAGCGCCACCATCCACGGATGCCGGCCGAGCCGAGAGGCCTGCAGCAGGGGGCGGGACGTCAGCAGGGGGCGGGGCGATACGATCAGCGGCAGCCTGCGAAGGCTGACCTCAAGCGGGTCTGGTGTGACGTGTGTGCCGGCGGCAGTCATGGCTGTTGCGTGGCTAGACTCAGCTGACTGCAGCTTCTAGCACTCGGACGAATGTTTAAGTCCTTCCGAATTCGGTTTTGAATGCAACTTAGTTGCATTCTATGCTCATGCTCGCGCACTAGGGCCTGAATGCTAGGATCAACAACGCCTTAATCATGGCTCTTCACCTTAAATGATGTCCGGCCTCCCCAGCCTCAAGTACCCCTTCGAAACCCCTAAAAAACCGCGTGCACAAGCCCACTCACCCCAGGTCTTACACCACCGCCTCGTCAGCAGCGACCCGGCGACAGACTCACCTCCCCTCCGACGATGCGGCTGTCGAGTCCGATGGGCGAGCGGGTGCCACACGCAGTCGGTAGCCAGCTGATGGCCGCCTTGTCGGTGCCCTCGCGGTGGCGGCAACACGTCTCGTCCGGTCGACACTTGGAGGCACGCGCCGCTGCCACCGGCAGGTCCGTAAAGCTCCTCACGTCGATCAAGCCGCTGCCTGCCAGGTTGACGAAGCCCTCGGCGTCGCACAGGTAGCTTGGCACACACTCGCAGAGCGACTCGTCGACGGCCGAGTAGCGGCCGTCGCCGCTGATCGTGACGGAAAGGCCGTCGGCGCCGAGTGCGGCCGCCTGCGCGTGCTCGCCGCTGACATCGATCGAGACGCGGCCGTCGCTGCCGACGGACGAGGCTGCGCTAGAGCCGGTACCAAAGCTGCTGGTGTAAGTAGAGCCGTCGCTGGCCGAGGCGAAGGCGGAGCCACGCTCCACGGACGTAGTGTTGCGTCCGGCAGACAACGATGCGCCGTGTTCTGCAATGATTTGGGTCTGTCCTCTCCCAGCTGATGTGAAGACTCCTTCACCCGCCACGGATGAGGCTTCACGTCCAGCAGACGCAGACACACCGCGGCCAGCGCTGGCGTGAGCCCGTCCTCCCCCGGCCGAGGCTGAAGCTCCACGTCCAGAAGACGCAGACACACCGAGACCTGCGCTGGCGTGAGCTCTACCTCCCCCAGCCGAGGCTGAGGCTCCACGTCCAGCAGATGCAGATACACCGCGGCCTGCGCTGGCGTGAGCTCGTCCTCCCCCAGCCGAGGCTGAGGCTCCACGTCCAGCAGATGCAGATGCACCGCGGCCGGCGCTGGTGTGAACTCGTCCTCCCCCAGCTGAGGTGGTCACCCCACGTCCAGCAGATGCAGATACAACACGATCTGCGCTGGTGTGGACCTGTCCTCCCCCAGCCGAGGTGAAGTCTTCTTCATCCTCCTCGGTAGACACTTCGTCTCCAGCGGACAAAGGCTCGCTGCGATCTGCGCTGCCATATTCCTGTCTTCCTCCGGTCAATGCTGAGGCTCCATCACCCCCTTCGACGGACACTTCACGCCCGGTGGACCCAGAGACGCCGTGATCTACAATGACGTGGGTTTGTCGTCCCCCAGTCGAAGCGGAGGCTTCACGTCCAGCAGACGCAGACACACCGCGGCCGGTACTGGCGTGGGCCCGTCCGCCCCCAGCCGAAGCTGAGGCTCCACGTCCAGCAGACGCAGACACACCAAGACCTGCGGTGGCGTGAGCCCTACCTCCCCCAGCCGAGGCTGAGGCTCCACGTCCAGCAGACGCAGACACACCAAGACCTGCGCTGGCGTGAGCCCTACCTCCCCCAGCCGAGGCTGAGGCTCCACGTCCAGCAGACGCAGACACACCAAGACCTGCGCTGGCGTGAGCCCTACCTCCCCCAGCCGAGGCTGAGGCTCCACGTCCAGCAGACGCAGACGCACCGCGGCCGGCGCTGGTGTGAACCCGTCCTCCCTCAGCTGAGACGGACACTCCACGTCCAGCAGACACCGTCACAACACGATCTGCGGTGGTGTGGACCTGTCCTCCCCCAGCCGAGGTGAAGTCTTCTTCATCCTCCTCGGTAGACACTCCGTCTCCAGCGGTCAAAGGCTCGCTGCGATCTGCGCTACCATATTCTTGTCTTCCTCCGGTCAATGCTGAGGCTCCATCACCCCCTTCGATGAACACTCCAGACCCGGTGGATTCAGACACTCCGCGGTCTACACTGACGTGGATTTGACCTTCTTCAGCCGAGGTGGAGTCTCCTTCACCCGCCACGGCAGACACTTCATGTCCAGCAGACACAGACACACCAAGACCTGCGCTGGCGTGAGCCTTTCCTCCTCCAGCCGAGGCTGAGGCTCCACGTCCAGCAGATGCAGACACACCGCGGCCGGCGCTGGTGTGAACCTGTCCTCCCCCAGCTGAGATGGACACTCCGCGCCCAGCAGACGCAGACACACCAAGACCTGCGCTGGCGTGAGCCCTACCTCCCCCAGCCGAGGCTGAGGCTCCACGTCCAGCAGATGCAGACACGCCGCGGCCGGCGCTGGTGTGAACTCGTCCTCCCCCAGCTGAGGTGGTCACCCCACGTCCAGCCGACGTCGACACCACACGATCTGCGCTGGTGTGGACCTGTCCTCCCCCAGCCGAGGTGAAGTCTTCTTCACCCGCCTCGGCGGACACTCCGTCTCCAGCGGTCAAAGGCTCGCTGCGATCTGCGCTGCCATATTCTTGTCTTCCTCCGGTCAATGCTGAGGCTCCATCACCCCCCTCGACGGACGCTCCACGCCCGGCAGACTCAGAGACGCCGTGATCTACAATGACGTGGGTCTGTCGTCCCCCACCCGAAGCGGAGGCTTCACGTCCAGCAGACACAGACACACCGCGGCCGGCACTGGTGTGAGCCCGTCCTCCCCCAGCCGAGGCTGAGGCTCCACGTCCACCGGACGCAGACACACCGAGACCTGCGCTGGTGTGGGCCTGTCCTCCCTCAGCCGTGGCGGACGCTCCACGTCCAGCAGACGCAGACGCACCTGAACCTGCGCTGGTGTGGGCCTGTCCTCCCCCAGCCACGGCGGACGCTCCACGTCCCGCCGCAGAGGACGCCTGCGCGGGGTCGACGGTGACCACGATACCCCTGCCCTGTCCGACGGCAATGCTGCCGCTGAGCCGTCCCGCCTGGCCGGCGCCGGCCGCCGCGCCGCCGACGCCGACAACGCCGCGCGGCACACACACCAGCCCGCGCGCCGCCGCGTCGGTCACGACGATCCTCGTGGGCCGCAGCGCCGACGAGCCGCTGCCCGCCGGTCGGCCGACAGTGACGCGCGCGTTGTCGAGCGTGAAAGAGGTGAACGACGCCGACGACGAGGTGCCGGCGAAGATGGCTAGGCCGTTGAGCGCGCTTTGGGCGTGCTGGGTTTCGAGGGACCCAGGCTCGGGGAAGAGTGACGTGTCCGGCGGGGTGTCGTAGCCAGTCTGGCGGCCAAGAGTCTTGAGGAAGGTGGCCGAGGCAGCGCTCACACACGCCAGCCCAGCTAGGAGGGAGAGGCTCATGTGCACCATGCTCGCCCTGCGAACGAGGCGAGAGGCGATCAGTTCGCGTCGCCGATGACGTGATGGGGCCTTTGGAGCCCGTCGCCCGGCAGTACATCGCTACTGAGATAAACTCAAATCAGGCTCACGCGCTGCCTTGCACTAGTGGAAGGCACGGAACTTGGCTTCGAACACACCAAACTGATCTATTTTTCTCTAGCTGCGGGCCTACATGCACATCGCGAACAGCAAATGCAATAGCAACAGCATGAGCTGGATGACTGAGAAGCAAGAATGTTTCAAACAAGGATTCCGATCAACTCCAAGCACCGCGTTTGGAGTAAATACACAATAGCAGATTGGAATTCGGAAAAATGCAAGCATATGAAAATGAGACACCGAACACTGCCAGCTCCTCTCGCTTGCAAACCTTCGTACCAGCCCAGCGCATAGCTGAACTCAAACAATTACCTTTTGGAGAACAATGCAACATAGCACTTCAGTTTACTTCAGGCGTGACGCGTGACACTTAAGTTATATTCGAAAATACTTAGGATAGGGCCGTCTTATGTACTTGATCAAGCTGTGCAATTCCTAAGAAGACCGAAAGAATGCTCGAGGGGGAGGGTTAAAGCCTTGGGGATTTTTCAGAAGTCGCCGAGCAAATTGTGCCCGGGGTCTGTAACTCAATGAAGAATAACCCGCACAATGCTAAACTATGTCTGACCAAAGTTACAATGCCCCATTGCAACTTCTCAGTATTTCAAAGGTTTTGTTAGCAAGCGCTTTAAGTCGAGACTTCTTGACCTTATATCACGTGGCCTGCGTTTGTTTTCGGGTGGGTCGTTTTTCAAAGACAATTTGTTATGATGCCAGCTATTCGCCCTAGAAGCTCGGCATGCGTAGCCAATATTTTCCCTTGATTTGACAATGGGGCGGATCGCAAACATACTGCAGTACAATGTCGATGTGCTCCTTGGATTCGCTCGTTTTGGGTCTTATACTCCTGACCACACTCAAATATTTGTGCACAAATGTCATTCAGAGATAGTGTTCGTTTGGAACCATACGTTCGCAGGATTTCCTGTGGAAATGTATGGTGTCGAGCGCTCAAAGGCTCGCGCACAAACGTTTCAAGGCAAATGCTCGTCAGGAATAAAGTTTGTTTGACAAAATACCACTTGAAAAGCTTCGCAGACAGATGCATAACGTGAGCTAAAATACATATCCTGGTCATTGGTAACAGGTCTTGGAACAGGCAGGCGCTCTAACCAACTGAGTCCGTCCCGGTGGCTCAGTTGGTTAGAGCGCCTGCATTCCGACCCACCCATCCGTGGCGGGATAGGTTCGAGTCGCTTTAGGGCGCTCGCTATTT